GGTCGTGGGACCAAACTCTTAGGAGGTCGATAAATCTGACCTGAGACCTCAGGGGTTGAGTTGCGTCTCAACGGTATCCTTCTGCAAGAACAAATAGCCAAGATCAATACCAATGATAGCGAGAGGCCAACACAAGTCCAGAAAAGGGCAAAACACACTTTCATCTCTCGGCACATTGGAGCAATACAATCCGACATACTCGAGTCCTTGTCCCTTTTTCCAACTGCCACCGAGCATGATCAGATCATCTACATACCCTTTGTCCGAGTCGGGTATGTAGGTTACCAAATACATCGAGGTATCCCGGGTCTGGAGGTAATATCACCCCCCGACGACTAGCCTTAGATCATAATAGAACAAATTTTTGTCTACCCCTAAGTCTGTCCCCAGCCGAGTATTCAAGACGACTACACCCATCACAATCCTAAAGAAATTAACCCTACATTGAAGGGGAAAAAATTTCAGTTGCATCAACATTTTCAGCAACAAGAGGTGTAGAGGGAAGGTTAACCCCCCTTCTATGATGGCCTTGGTCCAAAAAGACATCATATCTACACTTCTCATGCCCCTCCTATGGTAGGTGGGGTTAAAAGAAAAGGTAAAAACAGGCTCAGTGATGTTGTATTTAATCTTAAAGGCGTGAATATTCTCATCAGTCACTTTGGTTCTCCTCAGTTTGGGATTTGCCCTAGCCCTAATAGGTACCTCCCCCCTGGTTCTATTGGTTCTAGCCATTGGTGGGTTCTAAAAGGAAGNGATGGTTGTCGTCGGGGAAAAGTCGGTGGTGGAATGATGGGGGATGGTGGAACATTTCTTCAAAAGGGGCAGAAGGCTCGGGAAGAGTAGGCTCGGGCTCTTGTTCCAAATCTTCCTCTGACTCTTCCTCTTCCGACGAAGAGTGGTTTTCCCAAAGAGAAGGGTTGAACGACGGAGGGATCTGGGAGAATCGACTATAGATTGGCACGTAGCCGAGCAGAGTATGCGCCGCTCGCTCAACGGGGTCGTGGGACCAAACTCTTAGGAGGTCGATAAATCTGACCTGAGACCTCAGGGGTTGAGTTGCGTCTCAACGGTATCCTTCTGCAAGAACAAATAGCCAAGATCAATACCAATGATAGCGAGAGGCCAACACAAGTCCAGAAAAGGGCAAAACACACTTTCATCTCTCGGCACATTGGAGCAATACAATCCGACATACTCGAGTCCTTGTCCCTTTTTCCAACTGCCACCGAGCATGATTAGATCATCTACATACCCTTTGTCCGAGTCGGGTATGTAGGTTACCAAATACATCGAGGTATCCCGGGTCTGGAGGTAATATCACCCCCCGACGACTAGCCTTAGATCATAATAGAACAAATTTTTGTCTACCCCTAAGTCTGTCCCCAGCCGAGTATTCAAGACGACTACACCCATCACAATCCTAAAGAAATTAACCCTACATTGAAGGGGAAAAAATTTCAGTTGCATCAACATTTTCAGCAACAGGAGGTGTAGAGGGAAGGTTAACCCCCCTTCTATGATGGCCTTGGTCCAAAAAGGCATCATATCTACACTTCTCATGTCCCTCCTATGGTAGGTGGGGTTAAAAGAAAAGGTAAAAACAGGCTCAGTGATGTTGTATTTAATCCTAAAGGCGTGAATATTCTCATCAGTCACTTTGGTTCTCCTCAGTTTGGGATTTGCCCTAGCCCTAACAGGTACCTCCCCCCTGGTTCTATTGGTTCTAGCCATTGGTGGGTTCTAAAAGGAAGAAATGTAGAAGAAATGAGAAAGAAACTCAAGAGGAAGTACTTACAGGAAGGTGGTTTTCAAAGAGGGAAACTCGGAGAAGAACGGAGGACACTCGGAGGAGAACAAAGGAGTGCTCGGGGGCTGATTGTTGAAGGGAATCTGAGTATGCAAAAGTTCTGAGAAAGCATAAGCATCTCCTATTTATACTATTTTGCAAGGAGCGAAAATCGAAAAGTTGAGCCATCATTAGGGAATTTGAAAAGGGTGACGCCAGACGTGCAAGTAACCGTCGCTATTTATGAGACGTGTCTTTTGAGCCTCTAACCTCTTTATGACACCTGTCCCAAGCTGCAAAAAGAATGGAGGCTGGGGAGTAGTTGGAGAGACTTTAGGCGGTCCTACGGCCCCAGACTAACACGTGTAAAGATGGATCCGTTACAAAGGCCCGATAGGCGCCGAGGAAGTAAGCCGAAAGGTAATGGCTTGGAGGAGCCGAGTAAGACAGTTGGCACCGCATGTAATACGACTTGACTACTCATTTATGACGATATGAGTGATGGTGACCAGACATTAATGGGCGCCTGCATCTTTAGAGCTTAAGCCTACTATCATGATGACTAGACATTAATGACTACTAGGCTTTATAAATATGTTCAGCTCTCTTCGAGGAACTATTCCCCCCGAGTATTCAATGCTCAATTGCAGGTGTCAGACGCCGATCTGAGGGATGTGAATAATCGGGGGCAGGCATAAATGCTCGGCATGGCGTCAAGCTCTCGTCTTAACACCTAGTATTGAATAGGAGAAGACTGGAGTGGAGAATATTCATTGCGCAAGAGGTGTGTCAGACATTAAATATCCAGATGTGACTGGAGGTCTTTGACACTCATTGCTAATTCAGGTATAAATACCTCTCAGAAAAGTGAACAAATGTACGCAACATTGAACCAGAAATATCATATTCATTGGGCTTGAACGTCAAATCTTACACTAACTTAAGTTTCGGAGGGAGTACGTCGGGTGTTTACCTGTACCCCTATTTTTGATCCTGTAATTGTTGCAGGTCCACCCAGCTGAAGGTCGTTATCTCAAATTATTGTAGAAATTAACTAGTGCAATACATTTATTGTTTAGTATTATGCTTATGTAAGACAATCAGNGGACCCCTATTTCTGATCCTGTAATTGTTGCAGGTCCACCCAGCTGAAGGTCGTTATCTCAAATTATTGTAGGAATTAACTAGTGCAATACATTTATTGTTTAGTATTATGCTTATGTAAGACAATCAGATAAATGGTTAGAATCTATAGACAATCCATTGGACTGTCTTTAAAGGTACCACTGCCACACACGAAGTTCTCATGAAAAAGATGATGGGTAGGAGGACCAAGAATTCAAGAATACAGTTGAAGCTGCAGAGGGGCAGCAAGGAGATAGAATTGTATGTGTGGTGTGGTTTTACTGGAATTGGATATTAATGGAATTTGTAAGACTATATGTTAAAGTTTTGATTTGACCATCATGGTCCGTGAAAGTGGACGACTTCTTTGAAGTTGAACACAGGGATATGGAACTGGCCAAACGCGTCTCGGGTACCATCACCATCAAAAGAAAGAGAGAGAGAATATCAAAGTTTAGTATGTAAAATGTGAAAAAGGAGGACGCGGTAGCATAGGGTAACCCATTCAATATATCTATAGTGCTATACTATATATATCCAAGTAACTCCTCTTATTTGCTGTCAGCATTTTTTAAAAGTCTTTTTAGTCGATCAAAAAAAGTACTTATATCCCAACTGGACAGGTTCGCAATTCTGATTTGGTCTACAGTATATATTGATTGGAGCACCCAATCTGAGTATGGTGGGTGTGTGAATGTGTATGTGTGTATTTGTGAGGAGACAATCACAAAGATATAGGGAAAGACAAAGTGCCAAATGTTGGACAGAGTTTGCGGAAAATCGTGAATTGAAATAGAAGCGGGCCTACGGCAATCCCCAACACCACCACTCTACCGCTACTCTTCTCTCTCGCCTCATCCTTATCCCTTTTCCAAAATCCCTCTTTCTCTTCTTCTCTCACCTCTTCTGACAAACCCACTCCGTATATGTAATCTACGTCTCATCTCTCTCTGAATTCTTCTCCTCAATCCTGCTTATGTAGCTAGGGTTTTTCTTTTCTTCTCTGCCGAACCCTCCAGTCATCGCTTTGCTTTAGGGCTTCACCTTTATTCCATTGATTTGACGGCTTTTCTTTGTTTTCGCATCTCTCTCTTCATTTTCTGTATCGGCTTCTTTTTTTGGTTTTTGTTAACTGGTATTCACTGGGAGGGTGAGGGTTCATATGGCTTTGGCTTCGGCTTTTTTTCAGATCTTACAGCAACCCACAATTGGGGATGTGTTGCTTGAGCTCATGCTCTTCATGGCACCACTTTGGATTGCGATTTTTGTTGGGGTTCTTGTTGGATGGTCTTGGAAGCCTAAATGGGCCAATTTGAATAGGGTATTCTTCGAAGATTCTACAGCATCGCACCGTTGGTCTTCTGGGCGGCCACTGCTGACGGCCTGTGCTTCGATTCCAAGATTGAATTCAGTCAAACTGCAACTGCCCAGGTGGATTTCTTGGATTGCTGGCAATGACTTTGAGAAGGAAACTTCGTCGGTGTCGTCAAATTCTAGTTCTGACTGCAGGTTTGTTGAATTCGCAAAGTTTGAAATTTATCTGTATTGGGTCGATAAATAAAGCAAAAATTATTATGTTACTATGTGTTCAACTTCTTAGTCAAAAATTTAACAATTTTACGGATTCTACATAATTTCATTCGCATATTCGAATTAAAAGTTGAATTGCAAAGCTGGTACCTTTTTGACGACGAGATTGTCTACGTTCAGTTCATCTCAGCTAGAACGAGAAAAATTGGGTCTCGTGACGGAAGATGACCTGGAGCATTTATGCCGACTTGTCGAGGAAAAGGATGGAGGCCCTGCTTGGATCCAGATGATGGATCGGTCTACAGCTACTATGAGCTATAAAGCTTGGCGAAGAGATCCTGAGGTATGTTTTGTTCTCTCAGTGTGGTAATTTTGGACATGTGATCCATTGGCGCTTTATAGCACCTACGGATGGTGTTTATACAATCTTTCATTACATGATTAGGTAGTGTTTACGCTACCTGGGTAATTAATTGCATTACATCTTCGTTGCTTTGCTAGACTGGCCCTCCACAGTATCGTACCAGAAGTGTCTTTGAGGATGCCACTCCTGAAATGCTGAGAGACTTCTTTTGGGACGATGAATTTCGACTGAAGTGGGATGACATGCTTATACATGCTGAAACCTTGGAGGATTGCCCCATCACAGGGAACATGGTAGTCAAGTGGGTGCGCAAGGTAGGAATAGCATGCCTCTATTGTGTCCTTTTTATGCTTTGTTTCTCTTTGTAACCTTGGCTAATATTAGGCAATGCTTTGCAATGGCACAGTTTCCCTTCTTTTGTAGTGACAGGGAATACATAATAGGCCGTCGAATCTGGGAATCGGGACGAATGTACTATTGCGTGACTAAGGTGAGACACAAAAATTATCCTGATCTTGTTATCCTCCATCTATTTGGTATATCTGTTTATTATTTATGCCTGAGTATTACTTTAAAATCATGTTTGGATGTTATGAAACAGTTCTTATTTTCAGTCTTATGTACCTAAGGAAACAAATTATTCCTGCTTCCTTTTCTTCCTAGGTGTTACTATTCATACGTATAATACTTTTATAAAAAAAAAAATACTGTTGGAGAAAATTCTGTATCATTGAGGTTAAGCTTGTACTGGAGGAATATTGGCAGTGTGGGACTTAGATAATTCGGTTATATTGTGTGCGGGTACCTGGAGATTACAAGTGTGCACAATAAAATTTAATATTTGCTGTGAAATATGGCATATAATGGTTGAAGTTTCACAACTAAAGTTGCAAGTATGCAATTTAAGATTTGGATAGGGTAGCTCTATTTATGCTCCACTTTCTAATTTTAGCTGTGTAAATTACAGTACCAACTTTTCTCTTTCACTGCCTCCTAGATGGTGCAGAGTCTGTCTATCCATTGAGAAAGCATCTATGTTTCACCTCCCAATCTCTCATCAGTTAATCTTTGCCAAGCTATTTATAACTTTTGGCAGAAGGCTAATTGGTTAACATATACTTCATATCCCTAATTCTTGCGCTATTTGTATGAGAAAGGCCTTGTGTAGAAGAAAAAGGGTTTGCAAGTTGGATTACAGAAATGGAGGACAATCTTAACATATGCAAGTTCTGCATAGCTGAACGGTGATTCTGCAAGACAGTATTTTGCCAGCTTCATGGTTGTGAAGCTAATACAAATTCAGCTAAGGTTCCATTAGTCTTTTGGATGTTTGTCTGGGTCATTTTCAGTCAATCTTTTGCAGTGTTGCTGTATGATTACTGGCCATCCATCATGGGTCATAGGTTGTTCCATCTGGATACATACTCTGCAGGTGTAGAAGTTGGTGGATTAGAGTGCTTAAGAAGATTGATATAATCCTTCTGTGGTTCATTTTTGGCAATGTTTGTCATTGGCTCTGTGGCCTCATATCTGCAGAGGCAAGATAATGGTGCTGCAGTTACTGATTGTGGGGTTGCTGTAGAAGAGACAATAGGAATTAGTAGAAGTCCCCCATTGAAATAATGGACTCAAATCTTTGATCAGTCGTGACATTCTTAGGGAGTGCTGGGAGAGGGGAGGGAGAGAGAGATGGACTTGACCATTCAGGAAGATTAATATGCAGTCATTTTATATAGTGCTTGAATAGAAGTTATCAGTTTTCTTTTGAATAGTTTATGGTGCCTGGAAATGACAATTTGAATGGGTTCTGTATGTTTCAGGGTGTACCCTGCTCCTCTGTGCCACGGCACAACAAACCAAGGCGTGTTGATTTGTACTATTCAAGTTGGTGTATTCGTGCAGGTAATTAAGGCTTTACTACTCTATTTATAAAAATCATAGGCGGGTTTACTGCTCAAGCTCTTTCATTGCTTCCACGGACATTTAAGCAATTTACTTGAAAGATTGCACGCTGACTTGGCCTGTCAGAATTCGACACGACACGATTAACCAACATGAATCGACACAAATTAAATGGATTTGGATGAGATCTTAACGGGTTTGGGTGATAAACGGGTCGTGTTCAGGTAAGATCTGACAAACCGTTTATCCCACGTTTACCCGTTTAAATAAAATTAATATAATAATAAATTAATAATTCTTTTAAAAAATTGGCTAGAAAAAAAAAGTAAAGAAATCAATACAAAAAAAGAAAAGAAATAAAGTAGTATTTCAAAGACAAAGGAGGGGAGATAAAAGCAGTTCATGACAAAGACAAACCAACTTTTTTTATTTTTCTCTCACATCGGCAAACGAGGGGGAGATGGGGAGGGCTGCTTTGCCTATAAAAAGTAGTGGCCTCTTGCTTTTTTTTAGCCTGAAATTTGGTTGAAATTCCTCTTTTTTGAGGTAAATATAATTGGTAGTAAAAAAAAGTCGTGTATTAAAATTTATTGATATAATTTAAAAAAAAAAAATTAAGTGGGTTAAACGAATCGTGTCATGTTACCCGTTTATTAAACATGTCGTGTACGGGTTTACATGTTTTTCACCTATCACCTGTTTAACTCGACACGTTTGACACCTCTAATGCTGACCTAAACAACTGTGGACAACATCTTTGGCAATAATCCTTGCAATTGGACCAAGAACTTTTATTGTTTATGCATGCCTTTGTCAATTTTCATCTGTTTGTATTTTGTATAAAACTCTCCTGGTGAGTGGTCATTTGAGCCTCCATGAAATGAGAAAAGCAACTTCTATACCTGAAAGATGAAATAACTTGCAATTGTAAAAATAAAAAAGTATAAACCTTTCTCTCTCCTTAAACAAGTAGTCTTACTATCTGGTCCAATCAATGACAAAAATGTCTGTTTACCTAAATTAGTGGAATCAAAGAGAGGAGATGGCCAACTGACTGCGTCTGAGGTGCTTCTCTTTCATCATGAAGATATGGGTATTCCTTGGGAAATTGCAAAACTTGGTGTCAGGCAAGGTATGTGGGGGACTGTGAAGAAGATTGACCCAAGTGTACGTGCATACCATGGAGAGAGGACATCTGGGGCCTCACTATCACGTTGTGCGGTCATGGCACAGATCAATACCAAGGTTAGTGCAGACTACTTGAGATCCTTGGAATGCAGAAGAACAAGTTCATCTGAGGTAGAACCCCTGGATTCGTCCGAGAAACCATTAGGGAGGAACATACCCAAGCTTCTAATTGTTGGTGGCGCTATTGCACTTGCTTGTAGTCTTGATCAGGGGCTTTTGACCAAGGCAGTTATATTTGGAGTTGCCAGAAGATTTGCAAATATTGGGAAGAGGTTGTGATGCTGGGTGCTCTGGCATATCCATTCAAAGACACTGCCAACGGAAACATGCTCTTGCAGCATGGAACATCCAAAAACTGGATTCCTTGCCGTGCTGATGTAGCAGAGAAGTTCGTATTCTTTTTTTTTTTTTTTTGAGGCCTGAGGCAGCAACAGGTCAGAAAAAGAGAATAGGTAATACAGTGTTGTTCATAGAAAATTGAAATCTCATTGAAGGATGTTATGCTGCAGATATAACAAAGAGGCAGATCCACTTTCTCTGTCATCTATCTGGTGGTTGCCTTCTATTTTAATTTTGTTTTTGTTAGTTGTGTTGCATGCACCAAGACTTTTAACAAAAGTTGGTAAATGTTCTTGTGAAATCAGGATACTTGGTAAACGTTGTATAGAAACGGAAAGGAAAAACAATGAATGTCCTTTTTTGCGAGGCTACAACCAGTTATTCAATTCAATTCAATTCATAGCATAAAGTCGTCTGAAATTAATTGCAAATAGAAAAACATGGATCACATTACCCAACTTCTCCAATATTCTAAAAAATAAATAAATAAATAAAAAGACATCCAACCGTCTACTCCTCAAAAAAAAAAAATGAAAATAACAAAGACAATTTTACTCAACATCAAACATCAACGAAATAGATTATAGCTAGACTTTAACAATGAACATCATGAAATCCTAAAAAAAGTATAATATGATAATATAATCAATACAAGACGAGCGTCTCAAAAGAATTGAGCCCATCAAAGGCGGGTGAGAGTCCCACTACTAATGATGACTTCTTCTTGTTACGACCATTGATACTCTTCTTTTTGTTATCGACGAAAGGAGCTGTGGAATAGATAAGTTGACCCACTGGTTTGATGACTCCCTTCTTGTTTGTCACCAAAGTAGTCAGCAGTAATGGCCGCCCCAACCGATGAACTAAATACAGACATTAATTCTCAAGGAAAAGATTGCAAGAATAGAAGATAACTGATGAAGTAAATACACAGGAAGATGAAGCAGCAATGGTTATGATGAGAGACGGTATTGTTTTGTAAATATTAGATTAGACCTAGGTCGTTGAGTTGAGGGCCTTCTTTGAGGGTTGCTGTGGTTTTATATGGGGATGGGGACTACATGGCCTCATTTGATTGTCAAATTAGAAATAGATGGGTTGGATAAATGAATCAAGTCTAATATAATATAGATAGACAAAATACAAGATTTAATAGAGTATTAAAATAATGAATAATTTTATCCAGTGACTAGTAATAACCCGTGGCTAAAGGCACGATACAATATAAAAATCAAACTCCTCAAAGAATCGAGTCCACAACTTTTTTAAAAAAAAATTAGACAAAACATATAACTTAAGGTATTGTGTAACAAAATCAAGCCCTAATCATGTAACACAAAAAAATTCAATAGAATACAAATGTTTCACGTCCTAATTCTACCTTAACAAAATAATTTATCAACAACTGGAACATAGTAATATCAACAATAGAATAAAGCTCAACTTTATCCATATTAATTTGCATATATCAAATCCAACGGTCCAACCCACAATTCCAAATACACTCATTTAATTAACATGAGTGTTGATTGATCAAGCATCTGTTTAGGTAGCGTGCACCCGTGCTTGAAGGCCCTATGTAATATAAAAAATCATTCACAGCACTTCTCAAAACAATATGTTCAATACAGTGATTAAATATAGAGTTTCTAGCACAATACAATCCTCCAATACTTCAATAGTCTTCATAGGCAAGACTGCAAGAGTGAAATAACAAAACAATACGAATGATAACAACATTAGCACTTGCCATCACTACCTTGATTGAAGTTTCATCTCTTGGCGTGTATTTCATTGGAACAATCTACATGAAAGAAATAGACAAAAATTAATAGAAAGATATGATGACCAACAAAGCATAACATTTTCACAAAACTAAATAAACTAATGTGTATGGGTTAAAAATCGTATGCCCTTAGTGCACCAAAATTCCTCAACCATGAGGCTAGACAAAGATTACATAGCAATAGCAAGAGTTCCAATGCAATTTCCACCACCTAAATATTTCCATCTAAAAAACGAATATATGTTCATGCCTTGAGTATTGATTGGTCATGCCTAATCACAACTACTTACCAATTACCACAACAACATTCACATTAAGATTAAGGAATAATCACTAAATGTAACTATACATGAAATGAATATATGACAGCTATGAAAAATCCTAAAAAAAAAAAACTAACACCTCAATAAATGAAAAGAGCAAAGTCTCACCAATAAGCCCCTAAACCTCCTTTTGCATATAGTTTTTTTAGGAGCACTTAGCTGAAATCACAAAATTCAAAAAGAGATAATACATACACAAAATGGGAAGATTAGATTCATAGCAAAAAGGTCGATGAGCCATCAAAATAATGGTATGAAAATAATGTTCCATACCAAAAAAAATACAATACTGCATTATATATATTAGATAGAGAGAAATAAAATTAGTCATACAGAAGAAAAATCAATTTTAAAACAATGAATAAAAGAAAAAAAAACACTGAGAAAGATTCAAATCTGCCATTAAAATGTGTGTGTGTGTGTGGGGGGGGGGGGGGGGGG